TCATGTAGTTTTTGAGATATTGAGCAAAAAAGATTTTTGAGAAATTGCTGTGTCTCCAAAACTACTGGGCCGATTGAGCTGAAACTGCGCCCAGAAATGCTCCAAAGTAATACCAACTATGTGACAAAATTTCAGATTTTTAGCTTCAACTTTTGTCCTTTATTTGTCGTTATTTATAAAAATTTTCGAAAAAATCGACCCACACTTTCGAACACACGTACATACATGGTCCTCAAACTTCGTATTTTTACGTTTCAGATCATTCTACATCTACATTCTACATTTCCAAGCAAAATTAGCGAATCGAAAAATCGACCGATTACAAAGCTTCCATTCGGAAGCAAAAATATAAATGGGGCAAAATGGGTCTGTTTGCTATTTCCCAAATTGACTCTCCCCCCCTCTCCATCATTAAGAAAATAATGGGGCAAAATGGGTTTGTTTGTCATCCCCCGCGTTGACACCCCCCTACCTCCGTTCGCACTCATTAAGAGAAGAATGGGGCAAAATGGGTTTGTTTATCGTTTTCCGACTTGACATCCGTCCCTTCGCTCATAAGAAAAAAAATACAAATGGGGCAAAATGGGTCTGTTTGCTATTTGCCAAATTCACTTCCCGCCCGCGCCCCCTCTCCCTCATTAAGAAAATAATGGGGCAAAATGGGTTTGTTTGTCATCTCCCGAGTTGACACCCCCCCTCCCTTCCGAAATAAAGCCCACAATAATGGATTTCAAAATTCAACAGAAGGAGCAGAATGGGTTCTTGAGCCGTTTCCCAAATTAACTCCCCCCCCCTACTCCCCCGATCCCCTCTCGCTCATCAGGGAAAATACAACAAATGGGGCAAAAGGGTGTTGTAAGCCATTTCCCCAATTTACATTTCCCCCCTCATGCTGATTAGGAAAAATGGGGTGGAATGGGTTTGTTTGTCGTTTCCCGACTCGACATTCCCCCCGCCGCCCTCTCGCTCATTAAGAAAAAAAATAACAAATGGGGCAAAATGAGTCTGTGAGCCAGTTCGCAGATTGACCTCCCCCCCACGCTCATGAGGAAAACAGTGGGGCAAAATGAGTGATTGTCATTTCCCGAGTTGACACTCCCCCTCCCCTCGCACTCATTAACAAAGAAACAACAAATGGAGCAAAATGGGCCTGTTACCTATTTCCCAAATTGACCCCCCCTGTCCCTGATTATGAAAACCGTGGGGCAAAATGGTCTTGTTTATCATTTCCCAAATTAACTTCCCCCCTCGACCCGCTTATTAAGAAAATAATTGGGTGAAATTGGTATGTTTGTCGTTTCCCGACTTGACACCCGTCCCCTCGGTCAAAAGAAAAAAATACAAATGGGGCAAAATGGGTTTGTTTGTCGTTTCCCGACTTGACATCCGTCCCCTCGCTCATAAGAAAAGAAAACACAAATGGGGCAAAATGGGTCTGTTTGCTATTTGCCAAATTGACTTCCCCCTCGCCCCCTCACGCTCATTAGAAAAACAGTGGGGCAAAATGGGTTTGCTTGTTATTTCCCAAGTTCACACCACCCTCCTCCCCCCATGAAACCCACAATAATGGATTTCAAAATTAAACAGAAACGGCAGAATGGGTTCGCGAGCAATTTTCCGTGTTGACACCCCTCCCCCCCTCTCGCTCATAAAAAAAAACAACAAATGTGGAAAATTGGGCCTGTTAGCTATTTCCCAAATTGACCCCCCCCCCCGCCCCTGCCCCTGATTATGGAAAGCGTGGGGCGGAATAGGTTTGTTTATCATTTCCCGAGTTCCCCCCCCCCTTCGCCCGAATCAAACCAAAAATAATCAATTTCAAAATTCAACAGAAGGGGCAGAATGGGTTCGTGAGCAATTTCCCGAATTGACTCCCCCCCTGCCGCTCCCTCTCGCTCATTGAGAAAATTATGGGACAAAACGGGTTTGTATATCGTTTTCCGACTTGCTCATTCAGAAAATAAATAACAAATGGGGCGAAATGGGTCTGTGAGCTATTTCCCGCTTGACTCCCCCCCCCCCCCCCCCGCCCCCCACAATAATGTATTGCGAAATTCGCCAAATGGGGCAAAATGGGTTGGTGCTAATATTCCAAATCAACCCCCCTGCCCCCCCAAACCTATCTAATATTCATAAGTGAAATAGAATAAAAAATATGTCTGCGACTGCTGACAGTTTCCCGCCGACTCGATAATTTAACACTGGCGCCATCTCGCGGCATTCTCCCATCTGAACTTCTTTACCACACAGCACACCATCAATAATTTCTCCTAATTATACAAAATAACCTATTAATGGGTATTAATTGGGACCAATTGTTTGTCTATCAGCATTTAAATAATTTTTTGATTATATTCCAATCATTTTTGGCCCATTTTTCGCCTTAAAGTGACATCCATGCACATCCATGCTACATCCATGCTACAACATGGATGTACCATGGAACCCAATCGCCAGGGATGGAGGAATGGGAAAAATTTTATGGAGCTATTTACCCATCGCGTTGCACTCAACAACTTTGTTGAACAGGTGTCAGCCATCCAATTCTGGATCAGCCCTTTTCAATGGCTGAACTTGAGACAGCACTGAGAAGCAGCAGAAATGGGAAATCACCGGGGCCAGATTTGATCCAAAATAAATTCATTAAAAGTCTTCCCCTTTATGGTAAAATATACTTGTAGGATTTATTTAATGAAATGTTTGATAAAGAAAGTATCCCAGATGATCTCCCAACTGCTGCTATCTCGCTGCTGTTTAAAAAAGGAGATAGATCGGATCCCGGGAATTATAGGGGCATTGCCCTGATTAATCACATACTTAAATTGTTTACCCGTTTGCTGGCAAATAGACTAGAGCGATGGGTAGATGGCACAGATTTATTGCCAGAATCTCAAGCTGGTTTTCGGAGGGGGAGGAGTTGTGAGGAGCAGATCTTCGTGCTCTATACTACTCTTCAGAGTCAACTTAGATTTGAGGGCAATACAGTTTATTCAATTTTTATAGACTTTAGAAGAGCCTTTGATTCTGTTCCTCACACTCTCCTCTGGAAGAAGCTATTTGCAATGGGCATAAGTGCAAAGATAATAAGAGTTCTGAAAGAAATTTATGATAAAGCGGCTGCGCGTGTCAAGGTAGCAGGTAAATTGTCGGAGAGATTTGAGATTACGGAGGGGGTGCTGCAAGGTGAGATATTGAGTCCGCTGCTGTTTATTTTATATGTGGCTGATTTTGAGGACTTTTTTAGACGAGAGGGATGCAGTGGGCTCAATATCGATGGCCATGCAGACCTCCTGCTTCCTATGTATGCAGATGATGCGGCTTTATCAGCAAACAGTGTACAAGATGTAAAAAAAAACTGAGTATATTGCATGACTATTGTGAGGCGAATAAACTGTGTGTAAATAGTGGTAAAACTAAAGTCATGCCGTTTAGAGCCAGTGACAGAATCAGGAGTTCTGAAAGAGATGAATTTTTGTATAATGGGCAGCGGTTGGAGGTCGTGAGTCGATTTATTTATTTGGGGACAATGTTTGATAGCGGTCTAAAAGGTAAAAGCGCGGTAGATTTAGCCATGCAAAAGGCACAAATGGCCATTGGAGCCACGAGATCGATTCTTAGTAAGGCAAAATCGGATGCTTGGCAGAGCAAAATTAAACTGTTCAATAGTATCATAACTCCTACCTTGTTCTAGGCGGTTTCGACATGGGGTCCGGGTCATTTTGAGGACATGGAAAAGATTCAAACAGACTTTGCAAAACGTCTACTATTACTGCCCTCAAATACACCCGGTTATTCCATTCGTTTAGAGCTGGGTTTGAGAAATTTAAGCTGTAGAGCACTTGAGCTGACGCTGAATTGGATAATTAGAATTCTGAATATGGAGAGTCAGCGCTTGCCTTTAATTTGCTTTAAACGACTAGTATATTTACTTGATAAACCATCCAATAAAGTACAATTCAACTGGCTCTCGAAGATCCAATTTTGCTTAGAGGGAATCAATATGGGGGATGTGTGCAGTAGTCTGAACCAGGCTGACTGGTTAACGGCTAAAGAATTGATTATGAAAAACTTTTACCTGAACCTCAGAACACAAGATTTTGTTAATTATATCAATGGTAGCTCATTGCAATTTAAGATTCCTCGCTGTATTGATGATGATACTGCCAGTTATTTAACCCTGAGACGCCCTATAGCATTTACCAGAATTGTAGCTCAAATAAGACTGTCCAATTTTTACTCGAGCAGATTAGTTGTAAAAAATGAGATATTTCGAATCACGCCGAAGTTACTTTGTAAACTGTGCTACGGCAATTATGAAACTTGGGAACATATTTTACTGGGGTGCCCGTACTATTCTGAGCTCAGATATTCTCATTTTGGAGCTGATTTACTTTCATATCCTAAATGGGACGTTTTGTGTGAGTTATTTTTTATTTCATCGCCAAGGGAACTCAAACGTTTAGCGCTATTTATTATGGAGGCAATGAAATTAAGAAAGGACATGTTAATAAGTGGGGCATATTAGATAAATTTTGAACAGATAAGTCTTGAAATTGTTTTAATATTGGCATGGAACTGAAATTGATATCTTGTGTCTCTTAAGCGAAAAATGGGATTACGTTTGCAAAACTGCTCTTCTAATTTGTTGTTTTATTTTCTGCTCTAGTATAAGAACCAGTCTACCCCCATGTAATATGAGTGTAACTCATGTATGCATTATGAAATAATAAAATAATAATAATTATATTTTTTCGAATATTGAACCAATACCCATAAATTCCATTCCTATCCTCACATTTTCATAGAATACTTTAAAAAAATAGCAAAGAATTCAAATCGGCGATGAAAAATTTTATCGGATTATTATGTAATAATAATGCTACTTAGGTTCTTCAATGATTCATGTTTGTTATTGAAATTCGGCATTCATTCATGATAAAAATTCAGGATTTAATTCATTATTACCTTTGTAGGCATACGGTACTTTTCCAAGGTCATCATATTTTCTGGTCCATCCACTGTCCGGATCATTGACGGCAGCACAAATCTGAAAGGAAAATCTATGAAGAAATTTTTTTCTCAAATTGAACTCGGAAATGTCCAAAAAATTTTGAAATCATAGACGTCGACAGGAAATAATTCTTATAATAACCAATTTTACCTCATAATATGCAAGGAATCCCTTAGCTCCCGTGAACTCTCCAGGTGCACCACCACCAGCCTCTTTGTTTATATAAGTACCTAGATTATAATTGTTATTACTAGCACTAAGGGTAAATGTTCGTCCGTAGAATGGAACTCCCACGACGAGTTTGTTGGCTGGGCATCCAAAATCTTCCCAGAGTTTGAGTCCATCGTTCTGAATAACGTAAAATTAGCCAATTATTTTTTTGTGATACCTGCCTAAAATGTTCACTTTTCGAAGCCGTTTAGTGTGCGTAGAGTGTTTATTTTACGCAATTCGTGCACAAAAACAAACACTTTACCCCACTACCGTTTCGAACAGTGAATTTGGCAGGTATCACAAAAATAGGATTTATTACGGGTGCGGGCGAAAAAAGTGGTTCTTTACGCACTTGCAACAGAATACTATTTTATTATTCCCGCCGTAATGACGAAAAAAATTCGCCCGAGTTGAAGGCGAGGGCTGCAATCATATGAGCTAGAAATGGTACATTACATGCCCGAGCCTTGGAAAACAGATCACCGTCCCCCACGTGCAAGATTGCCTTCGGCTCGGAAGGCAATCTTGCATGTGGGGGACGGTGATCTGTTTTCCAAGGCTCGGGCATGTAATGTACTATTTTGTGTCGAGGGACCTGAAAAATGCCAATTTCGTGACGCGCAGCGCACTTCTTGTCCGTCGGACACTTCGTGGCCGTCAAATACCGTTTACGGACATTGTGAAGTAAAATTATGTTCGTCACTCGGCCGAAAACAACTTTTCTGACTCGTATCATTGCATGCCTCGGCTTCGCCTTGGTCTGCAACCTTCACACTCGTCAAAAAAAAATTTTTTTTCGAGATTGTGACAAAAATAGTTATTGAAGTCAAGCTGGGCTTTTGATTTTGAAATTTTCCAAGTCACTTTAAATGCGTATATCTTGAGAAGTTCTATTGAGAAGTTATCGGGACATGCTGCGGGAAAAATGCGCAAAATTTCGTAACGAGTGGAATGATTTTTTATTTATTTCTCTGACAGGAAGAGTAGGTAGTTGTTCGTCTCTGATTTCGTTGAAATTTATATATTTTATAGAGGATTCAAAATTAACTGACAGGTATTTTTTTATCGGCCGATGCGCGGGTTTAGGGAGTGGAACTGCCCTCTAAGGCCCGGTTGCACCACCCCCTGTTAAAGTTACCAGCCAGTCAACCTCTGGTAAATCTTTGATAAATTTTATTCGGATGTTACTGGAGGTGTATCGAGAGTCTAATTAACAGAGATATATCCCCCTGGTAAATGTCTGTTAAGTAATCCTGATGATCCTGATGAAAAAATGATTTCATTTTTTAAACTTTGAAAGGTTTGAGTTTGATTTTTTNAGTTTGATTTTTCATTTTAAACTTTTAGGAAACATTTAAAAAATCTGAAAAAAATTGGAAAGTCTGCTTTTGGAACAGAATTGATAAAATAATTAGAAAATTACAATATTTGAAAATTAGGGGAGAGTGGGGCGAAGTGAAACGACCCGGCAAAGTAAAACGAGGGGTAGAATGAAACGCGGAGGAAAGTGAAATGGTTGCGAATTTCATTCTCAAGGGTCAAATAGTTTTGAGGGTCAAATGAGAGAGTGATCTGGAGGATCGAAAGTTCTTAAAGGTCAAGTGGGAGAGACAAGTACAGTAATCAGAAGAGTCGAATAGGAGAGAAAGGGGCAGAGATCACTCTACTTGTTTCTGCCATAAGACCCTGAGAAAGTTGCAGCCATCTGATTTCTTCCACTGTTTCTCAAAACTGTTCGACCCTTCGTTATTTTTTTTGGTAAGGGGATAGAGGGTTAAAAAGGACCGTGTGGGTAAAATGGACAACAAACTGTTTTTCATTTAAGGAGAGGTTACTATGAGTTTTAAAAGTCACGGAATATTGCAGTGAGATTTATCGTACATTGAAGATCGATTATATATCTTGAAAAACGAAGAATGAGTACAAAAATAGATTGTTTATTGTATGTTTGCTCCCCAGGCGCTTCAAATCAAAAAAATAGTCCAGTGTACTCAATTTCAGAGCTACGAGGGTCTTTTTTTTCAAAATTTTTTCAAATATGTGTAGAACAACAATTACGAGGTACTTGTTTCAAATTCAACTCCTAAACAGTCAATTCCGTGACTTTTTTAATTTAAAAAATCAATATTCCTGCAAAATAGCCAGGAAAATAATCCTGAAAATAATTATAGTATTTTGGATTTGAGGAAAAAATTTAGAAGTATTCATTCTCCGGGCTATTTTGCTTGAATATTGCCATTTTTTATTCGGAAAAGAATGAAATTGGTTATTTAGAAGTCAAATTTCGAAAAAGTACCTCGTAATTTCATTCTACAGATCTTTTGAGAAATTTCTAAAACTATAGATTCTGAGATTTTCAATCATCAAGTTTGTCTATTGAAGTAGCTCTACCCTCACGATAAATTTGAAAATCATTAAAAACTGCAAGGAATTCCCAGGAAATTCGATTCGATTACGAAGCGTACTTTTTTCTCAATTTAATGGCCGTTTGGATTTTTTAGTGAAAAAATGGTGGAAAATCAGGATTTAAACCAGTGCGGGGCTATTCATTTATTACGAAAGACATTCAGAGGG